GCTGATAAGAATTGAAATATGTTTATCAAGAAACGTATAACACCAACTTCTAACTTTGCTGTAGACAAGTGCAAATAGTTTTTGATAATTTTGCACTATACACATTTGTATATATTTTTGTTTGCAGCACAAAAAATATTTTCCATTTAGTATCTTCATCACGTTAACTTCAACTCGGCCATATGCCAAAAATAGATTAGGCATTAGTTGAAGTCATTGTGTCCTATTTTATTTCAATCAATCGTGTAACGAAGCTAATGGATTCAACTCTAAGAAATAATGATGAACTCTTATAGACTGTTATATAGCCATATTGCAGTAAAAGGAATAGGACCCCCGGAAAAAACTATCTAGATTTACTGATTCTTGTTATTATAGATTAGAACTTTAAGTAATAGCCATATTCTATTTTGCATAAATAGTTCCAAAGGACTCGCATTTGTTTACGGACTATAAATCACAGCTTCGTTATACTTTTGACTATTTTTCCGCTGGCGTCAACCTGTCATTACCCTCCTCCTTTATTTGGGTTTAGGATTGGCTACATTCTGAAACTCACATTTATGTTGTGAATTTTCTACCCCTGACTTCTGTTTTTTGATAGTCTGTATATCAGATCCTAGACTGCGTATTATTTGGTTGATGCCTTAATTGTTTTAATTTATCAAACAGAAAGTGCCCAATCCTACAAGACTAATATTGTTTCAAATTATTAATTTCATCAAGATTTATCTTAAAGAGAATAGATAGATCATCTTACCAGTAGCAATTCGACCAATAACTGATCTTGTTTTTCTTTTTGTCCATATCTTTCCCTGTGAGTTCCACACATAATACTCTGGAAATTCTTTGTATAGGTATTGTCGTGCTTCAGTATCCCTCGAGCATGTCCGAAAATATTCCGTGAGCATGGTTAGCATTGCATATTCCCACGCAATCACATTTTGCAAATTTTGCTTGCTCCAATAGCACACTGTGTATTGACATTTCACAGAAACTTGTATAGTTATTTATTTCATCAAAAGTTTTAATTAACCTTGTTAGAGATAAATATTTACTTGTTTGTCTATCCGGGAGATGTAGTTGAAGGTTAATGACCGGATGTTGCATTTCACTGAGATTGAATTCATAAATTCTCCATAGTGCTTCTGGCGGAGACACCCAACGTGCGTCTTGAAAATTTTGGATTTTTCATCAACTACTTTTTTGCCATCATCTGATTCAATATAAACAGTACACCTATCATGTCCTTTATATATATACTTATAGAGATACTTGATTGCTTTCACTCCAGAGCAAGACTCCACATTAATATGACAATTGTATCTAGTTAGTAAGTAAGGATTATATGGCACAACCCACTGATTATTCATTCTCATGCCACGGACATTTACGATCTTTCCATCATTTTTTCTCTTATAAATAGGGTATCCATCCTTTCCTTGTATTAATTTATTACTAAATGGCCTAGGATAGTGATTCTTGCATTGACCATCCGTCATGCATAAATTTGTTGGACGATGTTTTCCACATGGACCATGCATCATATGCTTGACAACTAAGTCATGCAAGAGTGGATATTCTTCTTCATCAGGAAGTTCCGCAGAAATAAACTTGTCATATTGGTCTGCTGATGTTATCTTGTACCCTTGTTCAAGTATTATCAAAAGGTGTATGTAGGCCTATTTTTTGGAATTCAACCACGAAGACATGTGCCGCAACATGACCAAATATTTTTTTCTTAAAAATCTGATCCTTTAAATCCTGTAATTTTGCCCTAAAAACTCTAGTCACTAAGTCTGGTCTATCTTGTGCAAGTTGTCCTTCGCATAGATTTTCCTGGATCTCCGCCCAATCGGGATTACATGTCATTGTGATAAAAAATCTGGTTTTCCAAAACGTTGAACCAAAGCCATTGCATCCATATACCTACGGCGCATATCTCTAAGGCCTCCGATGAATGATGCCGGTAATATTACTCTTTGGCCAACTTTATCTCCTCTATATTCTCCAGCCATGATACTATCAACTATACCTTGCAATATTTCCCTTCTAAGTAGTGTTTGCTCTAATCTAAAGAATTCAAGTCTTGTTGTTTCTAACTTGATGTACATGTCAACCACAAATTGTTGCAATAACCGTCCGCACAATAGTAGTATTGTCTTTTCTCCTTTGCGTATTTGAAATTTGTAGCAATAATACTCTCTACAAGACACGCATGATTTAGATTCACGACGTACCCCTACAAAAATAAGTAGTATCTGTTAGTGTAGTTAATATTCAAATAAGAAAACTAAAGTGATACGTAATTTAATTGCAATACTTTACCTTGCTCCTCTTTGTGAAACACCTCATTAGCGGACGTGTATGTTGGGACATTCTGGTTTACATTGGCAACTTCAGATGTACTTGCACCTCTTTTTGATTTATATTTGTGTATTCCTTGGTGCCAGCCAACCTCTCCATTTGGAAAAACAGAGGATATTGGAGTGGGTCATAGCAACCATAATAATGTTTGACTCTATGTTTGTTGCCGGAATGCTCATGAACAATAATCTCTCTATCGAATGGTACATTTGGATTGTTTCCATCTATCCAAATTGCAGCAATTTGATCTACTGATGGTTTGTTGTAGACACGTTGATCCAGTGTAGCATTGGCAGCAATTCGAATTTGTAAATCTTGGAAGCTTGAATGATCCTTTAGCTGGCAAAAGAATTGTGCATAAGGATTCCCATCCATTAGCTGCCTAATTTTCGTCACAACTTCCTCAGATAAGTTGGCTTCTTGCAATTTTGAAATCCGATTGCATAATTCATTGTCCGTGTCAAAAAAATATAATTGAAAATAACATAGATTATCCTCACGTGGAAGCAATGACGGAAGATCGTGATAAATTTGACCTTGTGCCTTAAAGGTGTAAACTCTTTTCCTTGAAGATGCAAGTTCTTTGTCAAGTCTAACACCAAAAGACGTAAATGCAAATATACTATTATATGCTCTAATGTTTCGACGGAACTCTTTTGCTTCGTCTGACTCGTCAACAAGTAACTCGTATAATTGTATTGGAACTTCAGTATTTACCAATCTTACTGATCCCTCTCCGCAACAAAATGTTGGAGTTTCATGCTGAAACCTCATAGTGTGACAATGAATGCAATCAGGAACATTTTCCAACTTCTGAGTACAGGATGTAGATGGTTTAGAGACAATTTCACCTATATATATGTAGCCAAATGTTATGAGTAGTAGAAGGTAATAACTCGAACACAAATAAATGTAAGTAATTTTGCTGGATAATTTAGTACTGTATATTACCTTCAATTTCACACTCTTTTGATAGAGCCTTCAAAAACCAATTTATCCTGCGTTGCTTCCTTGGTCTTCTTTCTTCAATATCAATATCTTCCATTGATTGAGTCAAGATTTCCCAAAAATAAGAAGCATATTTTAGATCCAAAGTAAATTCTACTAATTATATTTAAAAAAATTGACGACATGCGAAGGTTCATAAATAGAAGAAGAAAAAAAAAGACAAGGTCCTTAAAAAATAATTATGGCAAAAATGACGAAGGTATCAATGAAATCTAAATATGAGAGTGACAAAGTTGCCGCTACCGGCGTCGCAACTATAGCATTCAACGCCGGTAATTTTAACCTCCGTACTTCTATGACCGATGCTACCGTAGTCAACGGTCCAAGATTAAATGGCTTATCTGTCTGAATAATTGGTATCCTACATGGACACATGCGGAATAGGCTATATGAAGAGACAAGGTGCATGAGGACTTGTTCCATTTGAGCATGAAAAACTTAAGATGGTCAATGGCCATACTATTAAGATGGACTCCACATGCTGATACGCTATGTTTTTCAAAGGCAAAATTCTAAAGCATCTTTGACATTCTTCTATGATCAATGGTTATACTATATATGTCAGCATGGAAAAGCATCCACAAGAAATGGCTAGTTTTAACTTTAGATGGTAAAACAAAACATTTAATGCACAACATATCAATCACCGACAAGTATTAAACAGACGATCAATCAGAGTTGTATAAGCACCAGAGCCTTCACATATATGATAGCCATACTTGTTAACTGAAATCAAATGTGAGTACGTAAAACTAAGTAAAGGGTAACGAATTTATAGTAGGATTTTAGATGGATAATGGGCCCAACAATTAAATTGATTTATGCTATAATGAAATAGAATTTCATTTGCAGAAGTTGCAGTAAATAAACATTTTTAGCCTATAATATTTTAGTGGAGCCAAAATTATTTAAAAACAATTAATACACATACATGAATAAAAGTGATTATGTATTGATCTGTTGTAATATGTTAAAATATGCAGCTTGAAGTGAATTTTGCCAAGGAAACTGCTACAGGCTATTAGTAATTTTACCTGAATTTTGTTCTTCATATATATTGTTGTTTTCATAATTTGACTTTGACGCATGTAAAGCATTATATTTGCTAAATCTCCGAATGGCATAAGAAACATTGCCTTGATCTATACATATAGAAAGAAATATTTTTTTAAAAAAATTAATGCCGCAATTAACAAAATTATAAAGAACATAATTTGTTAATTATGTTTATATGTACCTTGTTTTGCCATATGTGGTTAATAAATAATAGCCTGTGGAATACAATTAGTAGTTAATATTGTATTCTAATTCAACTAAAACACACACAGTACAAAGAATACACCGAGTAAAATTGATATTTAAATATTATATATGCTATGCCAGCAAAAGTTGTTCCTTATTGTTTAAAAGAAAATAGAAACTTCAACGATCAATAACTATCTAGAATACGGGGAAAAAAGAGCTTATATTTCTTAGAGAATGCAACAACACTAATCCTTTTCAATTTTAACTTTTTTGCAAATTATTGGGTTGTTGATGTCTTCTTCGACTTTTTTGGTCTTCTTAATTCCTGTTTCCGTTTGTATCTCTTCATCTATTTCAATTGCAGCAATTTTTTCAACTTCCTAGATCTCCTCCACAATAAATCGTCTTCCATCTCGATCGCCGCCATTTTTGGAATCAATTTTGACAAGAAAGGTGAACTTTTTTTCCAGACTCAACACCAATTTGCGATAAAATTTGGATTCTTCTTTCTGTACAAAAAAGAGTAAATTAGTTAAGATTGGATAAGGTATTCAAACCACATAAATGTCACTAATTTGTATATTTTGTAATGGTGTAATCAAGAAATAATCTGACATTTTGAGATATTGATTGTATATACGTTGTAACATCACAACCAAGCAAGTATCTTGTGGATTCAAACAGTGTAACATAATAACGTTCTTTCTTATCAAACACCTCAAGCTTTAGAATATACCTACAAATTCATAAATAATCAAACAATTAGCTCATTTATTGATATGTGAAAATGTAGAGAAAAAATTGAATTTTTTATCTGTTTTACCTTTCCTGGTAATCAACATTCTCGACGCCACAACGATGACATTTTGTAATATTATTTATAACGTCCACTTTCTTGTAACATTTCTTGCAAGAAGAATACCATGGTTCGTCTTTGTTCATTATATCTTTTATTCTTGCATTAAATTTAAAATATGTATCCTGCAAATAAATATTAAAAAAAATAGGTTAGATAGGACATTTTTAAAAAGTATAAATATTAAGTAGTTGGAAGAATTTACCTCTTTATTGTCGAACGAATCATCTTTCATGTCCTCAATCTTTACTTCTCGAGCATTTTTCAGTTGTATATTTGGCAATGAACTAATATCTATGTTTTTTGCCTTCTTATAGTCATGCCTGCATATTGTGTAATTAGTAAATAATAATAAATATATTTTACTAAGATTGCTTAAACGTAAAAAAAAAAAAAACCTAAGCAAATATTACCATTTTTGGAGAGCTACCGCCTTTTCAAACTTTGGATTTATCATTATACTAACGTACGTAGTAGATATAGAAAAATTTCCTTCACAGATAAAAAAAAGTTAAATATAATAAAAAATTCTACAATTTACAAAAAATACCAAAGTTCTTGATATATTACCTCTATATGATGTTTTCCTAATATCACATGTCGCAACAACAGGTTTTTCATCAATCAATTTTTGTAGTACTTGACCGTTTATCTCTGAGAAATCATTCCATAAGGTTACAGTCTTTTCTATCAACCCTGAAATTTACAATTAAATATATTAAACATTCATCTTAATTACGAAGAAACATTTAACATATTGAACTAAAACTACCAACTTACATCTCGTTGATAAGCACTATCTCCCTTCGTTTCTTTGAACCTTCTCCCATGGAGGGTTTAATATCCACTAAAATTTCAACTATATCTAAAAAGAATATCAAAACAATTATATATATATTACCCAAAAATTAATAAGCAGAATAGAAATAAAATATTGTTTGTATATTTAGTGAAAGATTATGGGATGAAATCTAAACAACTTACCAAAAATTGTTCCATTGGTGCACTTTGATGCCTCATCGAATGAAATAAAATTATTTGAAAAACCAATGGTCGAAAAGTGACTATTGCTTTCTTCAACTAACGTACTTTCCTTAAATCCAATCTCAAGCTCATTGTGCACTGATTGAAAATTCGGATTTGCACTATTGATACGTCCGTTTATGATATAACAGATCTTGTTTTGTTGTAAATAATTTTTCCACAACTCAATATAACCATTGAAAAGTGTAGCGTGAATTTTTGTTCCCTGTAAAAAATTTCACTGTAAGTTAATCTGATGGTTAAAAATATAATATGAAAAGACATGAAATAAAATATTGATATAAAATAACAATTACCTCTTCGTCAACTAATGTCACAATTTTCGGGTTCCTTGATTTGTTTTATTGTTGAACTCTTTTACTATTCCACTCCCAAACGCTAACACTCGTATTACCCAACTTGAATCAGATACTCTTAGACTATTAATTGGGACACATTGGCCTAACAATTCCTTTTCACTGCAAGTGTACCTAAAATAAAGCATGCATAAGAGTTTTATAAGTTATCAAAGTGACTAATTCAATAATTGATTATTTTTATGATATAAGGAAGTTTGTTTACCTGAACAGAAGTAATTGTTGAAATCTGAGTGATTCAAGCATGGAAATTGTAATAACACAAATCATGTAGTATTAATATAACACAAATTAAAGCAGATGGTATAATTTTTAATTCTTTTTAAAACAAGCAACTTGAGCTGGCATAGCAATTATAAGTATTATTAATTATACAACAAAGGAAATAAATAATACTAATATTTAAGTGATAAGACTTAGATCGAATGTCTAACCGATTTTCTGTGATGAATTGCAATTCTTCAATAACCTGTAATAAAATTTGTAAATTATGTGAGATGTGAAATTAGCCAAGTCTAAAACATGAAACAAAAACTATATAATAAAAAAATTATTGATGCAACAATAAAAATAAATTATTGATACAACACTAAAAACTGGTGCATGCAAACGTGCTTGGAAAATACAAAGTAGCAAAAGATGTTGATATTAGTAAAAAAAAACAACACCTGANCAAACAACACCTGAAATCGCGATGTTGGAATAGGGCGAACTTTGATGATTAAATAGTGACATTGTAGCTTCTTTTATAGAAGTATTATGGTACACAACTTGACACATAAAAGGAATTATATAAAGTAAATTTGTGTGTAGGTCAAAGAGACAAGAAAAATTTACCAAATAATAAAAACTTCTACTAAAATGTTTCCCTGGACGAAGTCAAATTCTAAACACTTTCCTTGTGTGCAACGGAACCACAATAATGATGGTTCCATTTTACCCATGCAATAAACTTTCCTTGTGCAATTTCACAATAAACTTTCCTTGTGCAATTTCACAATAAACTTTCCTTATGCAACAGTACAAAATTTTTATTACCAAATAATTAAGGCAATATAATAACTTATTTAATACTCCAAAAAGTAAAGGGAATCTGTTATTTAATGAGAGTGAAAGTTTAGGAAATTTTTTTTGTTAAGTTTCCTTGGGTTAGAAACGGGACAAAATTTAATGAGAGTAAAAGTTTAGGAAATTTTTTTTGTTAAGTTTCCTAAGGTAAGAAACGTGACAAAATTTAACCAATTAATTAAGGCAAAGTTTAATAACAAATAATTGAAGAAAAATTTACCAAAAAATTCGAAAACTAAATTAATTAAGTGATATTTTTAAATATTTATGAAATACTTAAATTACTATATTGTCCTATGGGAACTCTATGTCTTAAAGGGTAAAAAAGGCAAACGATATTTTGCTAAGGGCATTCGTACTTTTAATATAATATAAATATAGATAAGCTCCTATGCTGGAAAAGTTTCGCCTTCCCTCCCACCTCTCTTGCATTTTTGTACTTAAAATACTCTTTCCAATCCCCAAAAATAACATTGTGATGGTATAAAATACTCTTTCCAATCCCCAAAAATAACATTGTGATGGTATAAAATACTCTTTCCAATCCCCAAAAATAACAGTGTGATGGTATAAAATACTCTTTCCAATCCCCAAAAATAACAGTGTGATGGTATAAAATACTCTTTCCAATCCCCAAAAATAACAGTGTAATGGTAAATGAATTTCTCAGTGTACCTTAGACATCGATTACGGAACTTTTTGATATATTACGTACTTATAGCTTGTTTGGCCAAGCCGGAGAAATCAGCTTATTTTGAGAAGTGCTTTTGAAAAAAGTGTTTTTGAAAGAAGTACTTTTGGAGAGAATCAGTTTGTGTTTGGCTAATCAGTCTGAAAAGCACTTTTGAGAAATAATTTGTGTTTGGCCAAGCTTATTTGGGAAAAAAAAGTGCTTTTGGGAAAAAAAGCGCTTTTTTTCCCAAAAGCACTTTTTTTTCCCAAATAAGCTTGGCCAAACACCTCAAATTAGGAAAAAAAAAGTGCTTTTGGGAAAAAAAGCGCTTTTTTTCCCAAAAGCACTTTTTTTTCCCAAATAAGCTTGGCCAAACACCTCAAATTAGGAAAAAAAAAGTGCTTTTGGGAAAAAAAGCGCTTTTTTTCCCAAAAGCACTTTTTTTTCCCAAATAAGCTTGGCCAAACACCTCAAATTAGGAAAAAAAAAGTGCTTTTGGGAAAAAAAGCGCTTTTTTTCCCAAAAGCACTTTTTTTTCCCAAATAAGCTTGGCCAAACACCTCAAATTAGGAAAAAAAAAGTGCTTTTGGGAAAAAAAGCGCTTTTTTTCCCAAAAGCACTTTTTTTTCCCAAATAAGCTTGGCCAAACACCTCAAATTAGGAAAAAAAAAGTGCTTTTGGGAAAAAAAGCGCTTTTTTTCCCAAAAGCACTTTTTTTTCCCAAATAAGCTTGGCCAAACACCTCAAATTAGGAAAAAAAAAGTGCTTTTGGGAAAAAAAGCGCTTTTTTTCCCAAAAGCACTTTTTTTTCCCAAATAAGCTTGGCCAAACACCTCAAATTAGGAAAAAAAAAGTGCTTTTGGGAAAAAAAGCGCTTTTTTTCCCAAAAGCACTTTTTTTTCCCAAATAAGCTTGGCCAAACACCTCAAATTAGGAAAAAAAAAGTGCTTTTGGGAAAAAAAGCACTTTTTTGTCTTGAGAAACTTGGCCAAACAGGCTATTAGAGAGTACAGAAACTAATACTCCATTTAAATCACAATTTCATTGTTAATGTATTATAAATCGTAAAAAACAATTAATTGGCTCGCTAAATAACATTCATACTTGGTACTAATTTCATTCTTTTTGGCCTGTTCGGCTAAGCTTCTTTTTGGCCAAAAGTGTTTTTTTGGGCCAAAAGCACTTTTGGCCAAAATTTGAAGAGTTTGACCAAGCTTTTGGAAGGGAAAAAAGTGCTTTTGAGGAGAAGCAGAAGCATTTTTGGATAAGTAGAAAAAAGTAGGTTGTCTCAGAAAGCACTTTTTTGAGAAACACTTTTGAGAAAAATACACTTAGAAGCAGTTTTTTAAAGCTTGGCCAAACACTAATTGCTGCTCAAAAGTGCTTTTCAAACTAATTAGCCAAACACACAAACTGATTTTCACCAAAAGTACTTTTAATAAAAATACTTTTGAAAAAAAACACTTCTCATTTTTGCAGCTCGGGCAAACGGGCTATTAGCCACCTTCTCCGGTGAAGCAGCGTGATGGCATAAATGTAAATAGAGGAATGATAAAGAGCATTCTTATGAAGGCAGTGAGAGTTAGTTACGGTACGCAGCTAGCCAGCTTCACTGACAAGTAACAAACTATATTTCCATTACCAATTATTCAATTCCTGCTCAAAACCGCCTTCTTCTTCTCAAAGCTATCAAATAATCCTGTGCAAGTTTCATTTTGCCATGGATTTTACGCGGAAATTGAGTTTTCTAGTGTTTCTGTTGTGTATTCTCATCTCTTTGCAGAACCAAGACGACATTGATACCAATAACAAGTTTTCTTCTCATGACGACAAATATTGCTCCTTATCTGATGATGAATCTCACTATATCTTCGATGTTGACTCATTTCCGCCTCTTCCTATGTTCGCTACTACTTCTCATGTGGAGAGGAAGCTCCAGCAACAAACAGGGGCTCGGGAATCCCTGAAATACGATTACTACCATCAAACTTGTCCTCAAGCTGAGCGAATCATCCGATCAAGTGTTCGAGATCTTTTCAAAAAGCGACCACAGATTGCTCCTGCTTTGTTGAGACTTGCTTTCCACGACTGCTTTGTTGAGGTCATTTTCCTTCAGTTTCCTAAAACTATTTGTATAATAGTATCTTGTTCTGCTTGTGCTTTATACATCAGTGCATTTTTTGGTTTTTGATTAATTATGATATTTCAATGTTAGGAGTTTGAAGTATTTTTATAGTTGAGGTCATTTTCCTTTGATTTCCTAAACTACTTGTATAATAGTGTATCTTGTTCTGCTTGTGCTTTTATATATCAGTGCACTATTTCGTTTCTGGTTACGCTGTTTCAACTTAACGGAGTTTGAAGTATTTTGATTGTTGAGGTCATTTTCCTTCGATTTCCTAAACTACTTGTCTTCTATAATCTCTTGTTGCTGCTTTTATTTTAATACATCACTGCATTTTTTCATTTTTGGCTGTGCAATTTAATTCAACTTAAACTTAGGGTTAATAGTCAATGGCGAAGCGTGAGTTTGAAGTATTTTTAATCAGTCCTCGTAATATTGTTTGATTTTTATCGAGGAAGTTTATTAAATTGAGCTTTTGTAATTCTCATGATTTGGAATGCTTTCCGATCAATGATAAAACAGAGGCGTTATGACAGGTTTCTATCCTTCTTTCTTTTTTTCTTTTTTTTTTGTTTTGTCGTTGCTAGGGGTGTTCATAAAAATCCGAAAATTCGAACCAAACCGAAAACCAAACCAAGCCGACCAAAAAAATCGATACTTTTGGTTTGGTTTAGTTTTGGTTTTGAAATTTAAAAACCGATCAAATTTAGTTTGGTTTTGGTTTTAATAAAAAAAAACCGAACCAAACCGAATATAGGAGTAGTTATTTTAATTTATTATTACACCTATATATATGTATACTTTTATACAACGTTTCAATAATTTTATAGTAAATGTTAATCGTTTGCACTTTTAGTATATGTCTTTACCTTTACATTCTAGTTTGATTGGTAGTTTTCTTTTGTTAAGTGTAAGAATCTATTTCATGTTAAAAATAATATATTTTTAATTGAGTCCTTAAATTATTCATCACTATTTGATTCGATTATCATCAATATATCTTGGTAAATAATAGATTTCTCAAAGGGCAATTGATTTAATAGTGTTACGTTGAAAATGTGATCGACGAAATATGTGTTTGGTAGTGTATGTCTTATATTTAAGAAAAAACCGAAAAACCGACTTAATTGGCTTGGATTGGTTCTAATATTTGAAAAACCGACTTACTTGGTTTGGTTTCTTTTTAGGGAAAAATCGATCCAAACCGAACCATGAACGCCCCTAGTTGTTGTATATGTGACTCAATTTTTTGGTTTTTGGTTAACGTGAGTTACTAATTGGCGCAACTAGCGTGAGCTCTTCTTCTCGCATGTTCATTTGTTACTGATTGAGCTTACAAATGAGCTCTTTATCGTGAGAAATCAATTTGTTTTCTCCTTTCCAACTCAAATAGTATAGTGAATGTCTAAGGGCGAAGCATGAATTTGGAGCATGTTATCTTGGGAAAAAATTCTTATTGTGCTTGTGAAGTCAAACTCGGTTGTGATGACTCATTGTTTTCTAATCAATCAATGCGAAATAACAGGGGTGTGATGCCTCGGTTTTACTGGACCCTGCTGAAGGATTTCATAGCGAGAAAGAATCTCCTCCCAACGAATCATTGAAGGGCTTCGACGTAATAGATATCATTAAATCGGAGCTTGAAGAAGCTTGTCCAGGAGTTGTTTCTTGCGCTGATACTGTTGTTTTGGCTGCTAGAGAAAGTGTTATTTTGGTAAGCCCTCTATCTCTCTGTTATTATTATTATTATTTTTTTTTTGTGTGTGTGTGTGTGTCACACAACTCACAAATGAAGAAACTTTCATTAATTTCAGACTGGTGGCCCTTTCTACCCGCTGAAAACAGGAAGGAGAGACAGTGTGGCTTCCTTCGGAGAAGTTGCAACTTTTGAGCTTCCTAGTCCTCAGGATGATCTTTCCAAGATGATTGTGTCATTCTCTTCCAAAGGTTTCGATGAAAGGGAGGCAGTAAGCCTCTTAGGTATTGTTTTTTTACTACTAGTAGGAATCTTAAGTTCGGTGTACTTACACACAGATGAAATCTGGTGTTTATTTAGGTAGTGTTTGATTAGAGTTATTTGCAACAGGTGCTCACAGCACTGGAGTGATCCACTGCAAGTTCTTCATCAACAGGCTCTACAACTTCAGCGGGACTAATAGCTCCGACCCTACTATGAACTCGGAGTTTGTTAGTCTCTTGAGGTCCAAATGCAACACAAATCAAGCCTCTTTGATGTCTCCTGCATCAAAAGCACAATCGCCATCCCAACTAGTTTCATCATCGCCTTCACCATCATCTATTATGGATGAATTAGCATCTGCACTGGTTGAGGAGCCAGCAATGAAGATGGACTATGAAGGACCAGGAGCAAATTTTGGTACACTATATTACCGCAGTCTTCTACAAGGCAGGGGAATACTCTATGTGGATCAGCAGCTGACTACAGGGGAAGAAACTAAAACTTGGGTCCAAGCTTATGCTTCAGATGTGTCTTTGTTTCACAAAGATTTCGGGTTGGTAATGATGAAGCTTTCCAACTTGGGAGTTCTCACTGCACCAATGGGACAGGTTCGCAAAGATTGCCGGAAAGTTTCCTGAAAAAGATCAATGGTTTGGTCACTTGTTTAGCCTATTGCAGTTTTGGTTTTTGGTCCCTCTATCATTGAGCTGCCTCATCTCAGTTCCACTTACTCGTTTCTTGAAATTTCTGTGATATCATAGTGCATGGTAGTTGTAAGCGTACTGGTTTTGTTTGCACGAATTTGACAGGCTTAAAAGACACTAATCTGTCAGTATTAGCTCGGTCACTTTTCTTAATGGCATATTCGAGCTCTCATTATGGTCAATCAGTAGGTCAGGTTGTCTCTTAAGAAAGCACATTCCAGTAAAAGTATCCATTGACCAGAATTATACTCTGAATATCATATTACACCAACAAAATAGTAAAGAAACACACACATTCCTGGATCTTTTAATTGATATGAAGTGAATAACAATTGGCAAACAGGAAAGACAAGTAAAAGATGGGAAATTGCATCACCACTCACAATCTCATAGGCACACACAACGGTATACTTGTTTGTTTTAGAGCTTGAGAGGACCAAGTCTTCGCATTGAATTGTTGAGACTGCCTGATCGTTTTTGAAACGAGAACTCGGTGTACATGTCCATGAAGAATCTGTCAACAATGTCAACGTAAACTGGGCTGTTTAGCAGAGAGTAGTAGTGGAGCACTTCTTCTATATCTAGCTCGTGATCCATGTCTTCCCTATCCATCATTTCTAATTCCTCCATCTTCTGCAGCATCCTAAGACTCCCTTTACTTGTGCTTCGTGTCAAGATCTCTCTCCCTTTCTTCTCCTCTTCCTTTCTCTTTTCTCTTTCAATGTCTTTCATACCAAACCGCACTGCAATTTTCCTCTGGCTTTCGCTACGTTCTCCTTCAGTAATCCCTTGAGATTTCTTTGTACTTTTGCCAGCATTCTTTCTATCAAGAATGTCATTGTGATCGAGCTGATGCCTTTGTTGATAGTAGTTCCGGTATAAATCATCCAACTCCGGAATGCTACACTTCGAGATTCGTTTGCTACCGGAGAAAAAAGGATTGAAGTGACGAGCAGCTTTAGGTAGCTTGTGGGAACCTCCAAAGAGAAAGGACTTGAGATTACGGGGAGTTTTGTGGAGGAAATTCTTGGTCTTCTGGATGGTTTTCTTAAGCAGCATTTGTGGCTCTATCTTATTGTACAACTCTTCCATCTGATTTTTCTATCTGCGCAGCAAGAGATACTGCAACTTGTTTGGCTTCTTTGAAGAAGTTAAACTATAAAGTAATTTGTATTTTGTCACACTTACAAATAAATGAAAAATATAGGGGACAGACAAACCTGATTTGTTCCTTGTTAGCTGAAGACAAAAGGCTAAATGGCTATGAAACAAATAGGGACATTCATCACTTTTTTCGTTTGACTTCCATGAGTTAGTTTTTTATCCAGATATGTTTTTCTGTTTCTAATATCTTGATTATTCTGACCCTACCCTATGCACAGAAAATTTGCAAGGAGGAAATAGACTGAGGAGAAAAGCTGAAAGCTTATTATCAAGGAGGTGGAATGAGAAGGTTTTCTGGAATTAGAATTGCTTGTTCTATCCACCCTTAAGAGGGAAGGAATTTAAGCGTAGGCTGAATTCCTAGGGACAGAAGTTAGGTTCGGTTTCATTAAAAGCTCGAGCTGCATTCTTAGGAATAATTAAATGGCGGAATTAAGGAATGAAATTTCAATAATGATCATTATTCGACTGTCTGCTCCGAAAAGACTCATTATGAATAAAAGGTTGAACAGTGAGTTGGGTGAATGTGCTTGATGTGATTAATTCATACATAACTAAACTGTACACCTAAATTTTTTGTGAAGTTTCCGACCACTGGGACCTCAAGTAATAATGAGGGAGGCCTTAATTAACCTCTAATGTAGTAGATTTGGCACTCTTTATAGGGAAGAGCTGTTTTGGACCCCAATCATTAAAAGATTGGTACACTGTTGGTTGAAGAGGATAAGGGGCAAACAGCAGAGATGACTGAAATGGGTGAAGAGATGATGCTCAATCTCAATGGTTCAGTCTCTTTCCCACAGTTAATACTTCAACATGCCACCACAAGTATTATCGATTTCAATAATAAATTCCTATAATCTGCTCTTACTTTACAACAAACAGTCAACTCTCAATACGCAGTTTTAGATCAGACCAAAGCCTAGCCACTGGCTGCCTCTCTTAGCTGTGTCGAGCGTTCAAATATAATTTTTGGTCATATAAAGTGGTATATATGATCTATACATATCATATAATTTTTCAATGACAAGTGTTCGATGGACCACCCTAATAACAATGTAGCTACGGCAGTGCTGCATGAATATTGTTCGCTATAGTGCAGTTGAAACAAAAAGGCAATAAACAGCAGGAGATATTAATGCAAAGATACTAGTAAAACTACCTAAAACTCACATTATAGACGAGCTAGAGCCCGTTTGGCCAAAGATGAATTTTGAAATTTTTTGAAAATTTGAAGAAGTCTAAAAACTTATTTTTTAAAATTTTCACCAGATCACTCGCAAAAATTAAAAAACCATCCAAAATTATATTCATGTCCAAATACAATTTTAATTTTTAAATACCATTTTCACTTGAATTTTTTATTCTATTTTTTCGGAATTTTACAATTCTTATCTCCGAACGCCCACTTAGGCAATTAACATATGATCAACAAGAAGAAGCAAAAGAAAAAGAAAAAGAAAAAGAAAAAAAGAGCTATGCAGATGAATGCTTGCCGCGTTTACGCCAAATAGGACTTTCAAGCGAGAATCTGCATTAATCGGCCCCTAAAGGGGTGGGGGAAAAGTAAAAAAATCACTATATAATTTATGATAATGATTATGATAAAAATACCAAGGATAAAGTTGAAATGAAAAATATTTAATTAACTTAAGCTAATGAATACATATCTCATCAGTTAAACGTGATTGTCACTAATCCTAAATTTTTTTGGAAAAAATGGATATCATAAATAGCCGCCAAATTCAATGTTTAGTTTTTCTAACCGGTATATATAGATTATATATTAATTATAAACAGTTATAATATATTATACATTCGCGCTATTTTTAGTTTAAGAAATTAAGTGGACAACTATTTAGATTAATTCTTCAAACGTGGTTCTATGTTTCTCGGGCTAATAATAGAAGTTGTCTAGTGGGCTCCGTAAGATTAGTTATTAGCCCAAAGACTTTTCGGCCCACTTGAAGAACCCTAAAGCCCTATCTCAACCACCAAGTATAAACACTGCAATTATCGCCGCACTTCATCTTTCTTAATCGACCAGGAGGAGGACGCTAGGGTTTCTGCAACTTCACTGCAATGGTAAGTGAAAAGCCATTACTTTTCTTCACTTCTATTACATATTACGCGTGCAAAGGGTGACGATGCGAAATTGAATGTGGATTTTGTATTATAATAGGGAAAGGGAACAGGTAGTTTCGGTAAGAGGAGGAACAAGACTCACACACTATGTGTGAGGTGCGGTCGCCGCAGTTTCCATCTCCAGAAGAGTCGTTGCTCTGCTTGTGCTTATCCTGCTGCCCGTTTAAGGAAATGTAATTGCTCTTTCTCTTCGCCTATTTCCCCATCATTTGTATTGCATAAAACGCCATGAAATCCTGATATTAAGCTTTGATATATTTACTATTGTCGTGAATGAATGGTTGCAGACAACTGGAGCGAGAAGGCACTCCGCAGAAAGACAACTGGTACTGGCCGCATGAGGTACCTCCGCAATGTTCCTCGCAGATTCAAGACCGGTTTCAGAGAAGGTACGCGTTGTTTTATGGCTAGGCATTATTTCTGATCTGAGTTTCTGCCTATTCCGTGATCGACGAATCAATTATAGTTTTGGGGCTTTTTTTATTGGTAATATAGTTTTAGTTTTAGGGCTTTTAGGTTAGAGTTCCCTTGTTCCTAAGCCGAGGGTCTATCGGAAACATCTCCCTTCTGCGTACACACTATCCTTTATTGGGTTTGTTGTTGTTGTTGTAGGTTAGAGTTTGCTAATTGAGCTAGAAATATTATGCTATCTACGCTCAACTTGTTTAGTTGAAAGTAAAATATAGTATCTAATAGCTTGTGCTGTTAAGGACTCTGTATCGCCTGTATTAATAAATTATAATATGCAATGTTTGTCCAGGGACTGAAGCAGCACCAAGGAAGAAGGCGGCAGCAGCTTCTACTTGAGGTCCTTTGAGAGGGTTATTGAGGAGGGTACTTTTTATAACGTTAGCATCATTTTGGTATTCAAGTATTAGAGAGCAAGCAAATTTTGGGAAGCTTATTGCCCATTCAAATTTACAAGTGCTTAAATTTTGGAAATTTGTTGTTGAAATTGGCATTTTGAGAACTAATGGATTTGTGTAGGCTGTTTTCTACTTTTGGTTGCTCTGAACATTCTGTCCATTTGCTTATGTTCCTTGAATTTGAGTATTGAGGTCTTTTGAGCTCTTAATTTTCCAATATTTTACTGTATTCGTATCTTTTATTTCTTGTTGCTTTTAAACCAAATGCGATGATAATCTTTCTGGCTTGTGCATGTAGTCTAACTGAGCTGGGTTTGCTATTAGGACAGTTTTATGATGGATTATCCATCCTTTGGTTTGGCGGATGCATATGCGATGTGCATTTTCATGTAGTATGTAGATGCCGTTTCTAATGAAAGTAAAAGTTGGCAAAGCCTTGAATTTAATGGTCTACTAAGGTGATAAAATGCTTTCTTGTTGACCTCAGATAGTGGTCAATGAAGTGATTACTAATGAAGTTGGTGAAGTCATGCGGGTAGAATTCAAATCACATCGGAGAAAAAAAATTAGTAGGTGATTGTTTGATTGCTTAATTGACAAAGTTACTGGTGTTCGGCTGCATTTATGCTAGTCGAAGGTAACAAGTATTCTGTAATTGTTGTGCTAACTGGTGTAGATTTCACCGTATCCAACATAATGCTTTTGTATTCTGGCAAATCAATGAATTGGTATGTGGCCTTCTATAGGTTTTATGAAAGTTTTATTTGGGGCTTGCTTGCCGATTTACTAGTAGGAGCTTTGTCATTTAAGACAGTCGTTTATCCACTCACAGTGGTGTTAAATTGCTGGTTACCGTGCTTCTGCTCTGATTGATAACCTTGGAGAATAGGAATGAGCATATTATGAATTAATGGCCAGTCGTTCAAATACTGCATATTTGAAACAACTGATCTTCTTTAGGAGGAATTTCGCAGTGAACTTGGATACTGATTGTCAGGTAGAACATACAATCAGAAAAATACCATGTTGCTGAAGAATTCATACAACTTTACTGATATGAATCTTGTATATTTATACCCATCTCAAACATTTACAAGGGTATCTCCAATGTTGGTCAGACTTCCCAAAAAAAGTATTCCAAAAAAAAAAAAAAACTAATTTACAAGTTCTCCGGGAAGTTGTTTCTAGCTTTGAACAGTTTTGTTGTCTAAGAAAAATTATCCTGAAAACAAAATTTTCCGCACCGTTTACAACTCAAGTGAGCGCCACAAGATATGTAAGCAAAAATCGATTTTCTCAGGAGGGCCAAAAGTAAAGAAAATACTAAAACGGAAGTTGATATAATTTCCTTTAAAAGATGGACAAATTGTCTGAAAAACGGACGCACTAATCTATTTTGAGCTCTCCAAACTTCGACTTCTCCTTATGCAATGTGCTGAACACGCAATCCAGCTCCGGAAAAGCGGACAACAGTATCAACTCAACAAGATCAAGGACTAACTGCTTTAGACAAACAGATGACTGTAAAAGGAACAGCGCCTCAGTCAGTAATACTTAAGGAAAGGTGTCTAGAACAAACCAATACAAGATGAAGATATGAAATATTTTCATATTTAAAGCAGATTCTAAAGACCCTGACTATATTACCTGGATGAAGTAATAAAGATCCTTTGCACATTGTTCATATTCCTTGTGACCAACAAGTCCCACAACAGCAGCAGGTGCTTTTTCTTGTAAAAAGTTATCAGAGTAAATTATGTCAATTTAGGAAAAAGTATTATGGATTTTCATGAATGTTGAAATGGTCAATAGCCAGTGGCACATGTTTCTCGGGTGCCCTACCAATCATTAGCTCATATACAAGGTTTGCACGTTGTTCTGCTTCCTTCTGCTGCATCTCATCCTGTTTCTGGATATCCTCTACCGTTGATGATGATGATGGAGTGGGGGGTTGGTTTGTGAGGAGAATTAAGAGATGGACTGGTAGATGGGGTAGGGCGTTGTCGCCTTGGATGCTTTGTTATGAATATTCCGTCAGGCCATAGAATCTACATGGAGCACAAAGAATGAGAACACTTGATCCGATATCAATAAAATGTTAATCACGGAATCTTGGGTACCATCAGTCATCTGAAGCTACATTTCAGCCTTTTAAGAAAAAACATACAATCATCTAAATGCACATATATAAGACACAGCAATACTTACTACTATAACTTTTTCTCTTAAAGCAAGCTAATGAGGGTAGTTTTTACCGAATTCCCACTCCCCAAAAAGGAAAACATACATAAGAACCAAAAAAAAAAAGAAAAAAGAGGACAGAGCACTGTTTGAACTAGCAAATCTTGGAAAACAGTACTATAATTTAGGACGTATTAACAGATTAAATCACAACTAGGAATGCAAATTGAATTGTTGTCATCACCGTGATAAGAAAAAACAACTAAATTGCGACACTTGCCTGCTCAACACGTCTTATGCCTGCAGCAACTACTGAACCCCTGCGTAGACGCTGGATTTTCTCAATTAGCCAGTCATCAAATGCATCACCCATTCCCAGTTGCAAAACTTGTTTTGCCACCCAGAATGCCTTTCTCCTGGAAGGCACCCAAAGAAGTTTATAACAGAAATGAGTAATCAATCAGGTCCAAGAGCAAAACAGTTGGACAATAATGATACCTGATCCACCCACCATCTTGGAGCTGAAAAATGACGTCAACCAGGTCTAGAACAGGTGCACTTACATTCGGAGGCACCCACTACAGTGAAACCAATAAAATAAAATAAATAAGGTTCATAACCATCTTAGTTCATTGAAAGGGTAAAGCTACATGTAATTTGTTAAGAGGAAACCAAATGAAAGCATCATAAGAAAAAAAAGGTAACTTGCATATCTTTCAACCTCACTAACTCAATCTGATCATTGCAAATCTATTTCTTCCCAAGTGTCCAACGGCAAAAGAACCTATTAGCCTTAAAAAAAAAAAAAAAAAAAAAAAAAAAAAAAAAAAAAAAAAAAATTGGTAGCAGCTACCTCTACGGGGAGGGAGGAATCAGCAGGAGCATCAATAAAGGATTCAGATGATGCATGTGAGACACGTGGATTAGTTTCAACTGATTTTAGCGTTGTTTCCATGGTTGGGATAGAAACTTTATTTGTTTGTACCACATTGTCGGAGTCACTACTTGAATCCTCAAAAGTTTCTTTGATGGGTCTTTTTGGAGGGGACAGTGCGACATATTTTTTCCCAAATCTTGATTTATCCACCACAGGTTGATGCATCATGATTCGCTCCTTTCTTTCAGCATAATGCTCTCCCGTGGAGGATATGATATCAGTTCTTTGGCCAATCCTGGGCAGAGGTTCTTTACTTACGCGGCATACGCTATCATCCAGGTCAACTGAAAGAGTAACAAGAATCATTTACGATTAACATAAAAATCGAAACCCAACCTTCTGCCCCTTAGCCATGTCTAGTAAGTTACTCACCTGGTAATGTTTCGATTATGGACAAGGAGTTTGAAAAGCTGTATGTCTGCAAAAACAATGTACAAGATCAACGCTCTTTGTTCAAAAGATGCATCTAAGCTCAAAAAATAGAAAATCAGCAATTTTTCAACCTGTGAATCAATACTGAGGAAATCCCAAACCTCAATGGAGTTGGAGACAGTTGGGAGCTGCAGCAGTTTCTGCAACAAAACAAGAAAAAGAGTCAAATAAAAATTAAAGGTGACACAGAAAAAATATAAATAAATAAATTGAACTGCAGAGAAAAAGTGAACAAGATAGTTTAGAGGAATATATAAAAATCCAGTTTCATGAAATGTTTTCTTTTCGAAGCTGCCCATGAAATCCATATATCACCAGAACTAGTTATACTTCATCAACTTCAGAAAGCGAGAAGAAATTTCGCAGCAAATCACGGAGTCAATAACAATTATAGGATTAAGACTAAGATAAACTGCTGTGATTTTTTTTTAAAGAAGATAAAATAAACGATAATGAGAAGGAAAACAGTATAAGGTAAGAACTTAAGCACATTTTTGTGACATCAAAGCAAATTCTTATAACATGAAACTACTCAGGTATAGATCACAAAGTACTAGTTGAAAAACACTTCTAGATGTTATCTGTTAGAGCACCACCTTCAGATATGTGTTAAGAAATTTGCATCGTTCTCGAATGACTGGAACATCCAGACCTGTGGAGAGGAAATGCTTGGGTGGCAAATGAAGATTGTAGTCATGATACTCCTTAAGACGTCTGTGGAGCTCCTCAAAATGACGAAACCTGTCACAAGCAGCAAACAGAACAATTAAGACACTGGATACTGTTGAGATATATTCTGGATAAAGAGGTGTTTGACATTCACAATAATGATAAAAGCAGAAAGTTATATCAAGAGACCTTCTTTTGATAGACCAACTATGATTGTTTACGTCTGTAACAGATAAGGAATAAACAGCAAAAGTTTTTGAGCCACATTTTACGATATTGGCACTCAAGACCTGCAACAGAAGAAAGGATAACATATGTGGATGTCCAACTCTGTGAAAGTAATTCATAAAGTGAAATTATATGTAAAAAAGGATGGCAATCACAGCTGTACCTCGCATGTTAACTTCAAAAAGGAATCAGCAATTATAGAACCTTTCACAGAATTAGCACCCATTTTGTGGTTTTCGAGAATGCTGGTTGACAAAGATGATGATGATGCATTCGTGCCATTTGAAATTCTACCAGATATTTCTGTATCAGAGTCATCACTCGGACCTTCTGGTTTCTCGTTATCTTTAGAGTTTAATATATCATTTCCATCCCCTAGTAAGAAGCTGGATCTTTGTATCTCTTGCCATACATGCTCTGTTTGGCTATTCACTCTAGATTTTTTCCTCGCAGATGGTACTTTATTTAAGTGCTTAGAGCGAACATGCCCTTTGCTAGATTTTCCCTTTCTTGTCTTATGACCAGCATTACTTTCAAGTGGATGATGAATGTGATTGATGTTCCTCCTATTTTTTGCATCCCACACTAAAATACCAGGAGAGTGAAGACCTGTCACACTGCTAGGTTCCTCATCTTCAGTAGTGTAAGAACTAGTGCTCTCTGACTCGACCTCATCCAAGTTTTGCTCATCTTCCTCTTGATATTGAAAAGGTTGAGTATTAGCCTTCAAAAATAGGCTCACATTAACCTTGTTTTCTCTCTCAACCTCTTTCTGTGATTTA